GGGCCGAGCCTCCCGACTCCCTCTGAGGAGGCCTGGGGGCTCCGGAGAGCGGCCACAGAAAGACGCCGAGCCCCACCTAGTGGCCAGAGCCCAGAGTGGAGGGTGCCCTGGAGCCTGGAACACAGCGCCCCCACCCGGCGCTCAGACTGAGGGCCAGGCCTAGCGAGTTCGGCCCAGAGCCCCTTCCTTCAGTGGCCGCTCGACATGTGCCCCATCTTCAGCTCCACTGTGACCCAGGCCTTGGGGACGGGGTGCACAAATGCCCACATTTCAGGCTCCAGGTGGCAATACTTGGACACGCCGCACTTTCACTAGCCAGACGCTTGGGAGCTCATAGGCAAGACCCTGCAGCCTGGCTGGCACAAACCAGGCACCCACAGACGATGACATGCACCACTCCCCTCCTGACTCAGCCTGGTTCACGTGTGTGTGCAGAGACAGAGACGGATGGGCAGCAGGGTGACAGGGACAGTGGCCTGAATGAGAGGGCCAGGTGCGGAGGACGGAGCCTTACCCTGGAGCAGTGGCGAGTGACTGCCAACACCTCATCCTCCGTCAGCAGCCGGCGGGCCAGGTCCTGAATGAGGGGCCGACGACTATCCCAGGCCTGCACCCGCTCATCCATACTGGGCAGCTGGCTGGTGGGGCTCCCAGACCTGGCCAAGAGCAGGGCCCGGCCCCTCTCCTGGTCTGCGGGGCAGGAGCAAAAGGGTGTGATGGAGGAGCCAAGAGTTGTCGGGTGGGCAGGCTTCCTGAGCGTCCCACAGAGGGGCCGGCCCCAAACAGGCTGAGGGGAGGCCCAGGTACCAGGACAGAACTGCAGCCTCAGCGTGGGCGCCCAGTTGTATGGTGTCCCACAGTGACCTGCCCACCAGCCAGACACCAGCCTCAGCCTCCCATCCTCAGCACTGACCCCCACACCAGTCTGTTCCTTTACATGATTTTTCTCTGTGGTACTGGGGACAGCAGGGACTTCACACTGAGCTACATTTCCAGTCCTTTTTATTTTTTGAGACAGGTTCTTGCTAAGCTGCTCAAGAGGGCTTGAACTTGCGATCCTCCTGCCTCAGCCCCCCAGAGTGCTGGGATCACAGGCATAAACAACCGTTCCAGGGTCCTGTCTGTTACTTCATGGAGTCTTAGCCTAGTGACCCCTGTGTCTCCTAACAATATATCAGTCTGTTCCCCACTGATGTCCTAGCACAAGCTTTCACTGCCCCCCAAATCTGTCTTTAGGGAGCCTCAACAGAAACCCTCAGAATGTACCCCTTAATCTGTCTGCAACCCTATGCCACCAAGTAAGCTTGGTCCAGTTCGTCATGCACTTTTCCGCCTGGTCCCTCCTGTGTGGCCCCACTGAGTTTAGCCACAGCCACAAAGCTGACCCCAGCACACACGCACTTGCCTTAGACCAGGCTGTAGACCAGGCCTTGACAAGGTTACACAACTTACCACGTCTCAGTCTCCAGGTGACAAACTTCTGCACAGGCCCCACGCTCCCTGCTGAGGAGAGGCCCAGCTGCAGAATCTGGGACCCAGCCTGGAAGTGCAGGGCTGGGGCCTGGTTGGGTGGCAAGCCTGCCTGGAAGGAGGCCTGGCCCTGCTAGGGTGCAAAGTGTTGTGAGCTAGGGACTGTACTCAGAGCAGGAGCAGGGAATCAGAAGATCTGGGATAGAGGAGCCGCCTGTGGAGACTCATTTGTTTTTTGTTTTTCTGAGACAGGGTCTCACTATGTAGTTGAGACTGACCTGGAACTCACTTTGTAGCCCAGGCTGGTCTCGAACTCACAGTGATCCTCCTGCCTCAGCCTCCCGAGTGCTGGGATTACAGGCGTGCGCCACCACACCCAGCTGCAGACTCATTTGGAAGCAAATGTATGGAAAGAAGGGCCCCAGGGGCAACACACAGGGGACCTACCTTCAAGGGACAGAGGGAAAGAGGAGCCTCAGGAGAGACAGGAGTGGCCTGAGAGGTGAGCGGAGAGGGAGAGGCAGGAGAGTACGGAGCCCTGGGAGCGTGGGAGGAAGAGGTGTGAGAGCGCTGGCTGCCCTCTTTAGAGGGGCCCCTTGGGGGCACTGCCACCATGAGGCCCCAAAGCGAGAACCCGAGGGAGGCACCAGGCTCCCTGTCCTCAGGCTGTTTCACCTCCCCAACACCCACTCCTCTCTCTGGAAGCTGCACCCCATAGTCCTGGGGACACCCCTGTTCTCAGCCCTACCTTCCGGTAGGCAGCCCCCCAGGCTGGCTGTGTTTTGTTTACACATGGCGTGCGAGCTCAGGCCTGGGAGACCTTGGCTGGAACTCTCAGGAAAAGCACTGCCCCCGGGGCTGCCAAGTGAGAGTGGCTACCCACCTCCATGACTGGAGAGAACACTTGGAAAAGAGGGACCGACAGATGCAGCGGGACCCACGTCTGGGGCATTGTGCAGGCCTTTAGACCAGCTCAAGTCCAAAGCTGAGCCAAGAGATGCCTTTCAAGACTAGTCTGTTTCTGCCACATGCAAGCCCGAGTCTTAACTCCTCTGCTCTCAACCTCCCCAGGGCAGCCTGGGCTGGTCTCCTGCTGGCTCTGATCTAGAGATGGCCCCGCTCCAGCATGGCTCTGGAAGACCTGGGTTCTGGCAGGGTGTGAATCCCGAGCCAATGCAGGCCCCACACCACTGCCATCGAGAGCACAGGGCGCGTAGTGCAGGGTGGGCCCAGGGTCTGGCACATGAGGCCAACACCACCCCAGCCATCCTGTTTTGATTCAGGGTTTTACTTAGCTGTCCTGACTGGCCTCGAACTCACAGTCCTCCAGCCTCAGCCTCCCAAGTAGCTAGCACTACTGGTGGGCAGCACCACGCCCAGCTCCACTTCGCTGCTGTGCCTCTACCATTTTCCCTTTCTGGAAGGTGGGACAGAAGCGGGTGACCAGGACTATCATGTGCCCTGAACACCTTGTGTGGCTGACGAGTTACAAGAGATCTCTGTTTGCTGGAAGCAGGCTGTGCACTCCTATCTTATCAGCACGGCACGCTGAGGGGGTATGAGATGTCACCCCAGGCCTGCCGGGCACCCAGTGGACGTGGCCCCATGCCCTCCCCTACCTGTGTCCAGGTCCAGGCAGGGGCGGGCTTTGGCTGGACTCCCGCCGTCCTGCGTCCAGGCCTCTCTGAGCCCATCCCCTGCAGGCTGCCCCGGCCGCCCTCCCTTGAAAAAGAGGTTCATCAGTGTCTTGGAGCGCTGCAGGGCCCCTTTTTCCCCAGGAGACCCCAACTTCTTCTGCTGCTTCTTCTCCTCTGCAGACAGGAGAACCGGGGGCTGAAGGGTGTCAGGAGGGACGAAGAGGGACAAGGGCATGGGGAGGGCAGTAGGTGGAGCCTGGGGTCCTCCCCCAGCTGGGTAAGGGTCCACCTTGGGGAGAGGGTGGCAGCCAGGCACTCCAGGAGGGTGGGGTCGGTTTGGGGCTCAGAGCTGAACTGGACTGGGTGAATTCTAGGATGGGTTTGATCAGGCCTGGTTAGAACAGGGCCCAGATCAGGATCTGAGAATATTCTGAAGCGGTTCTGGGTCAAGGCCCAAGGCCACAGAGGCCATGTGGGGCAGGCATGGAGCAGGGGCTGGAGAGAGTGGCCGCCCACCCCTGCGTACCCCACAGTGTCAGCTGGCTCCGGGAGCGCGTGATGGGGGTCCGTGGCCGGCTGAGGGCCAAAAGCAGAGCAGTCTTGGGGGACTCCGGGAGGGCAGCGTCGAGGCGGCGGGCGGGCGAGGGGCTGTCAGAGCGGATAGCGGTGTCCCTGAGGATGATGGTGGGCCGCACGCTGCACCAGGTCTCCACGCGGCCCCCGACGTCAGGCTCTGTCTGCATGGCAGTGTCTGCCCTGCCCCAGCCTGGCCCCAGGCAGGAGTCGGTGACCAAGGGCTGGGAGCCTGGGCTGTAGGGGGCGCTGGAGGCATAGGAGGAGACGCTGGAGCTGCTCTCAGAGGCGGGGCCCAGCTGCTGCAGCACCCCATTGCTCACTGCAGGGAGAGGGAGGCACCTTAGGCCTCTGGCTCCTGGACTCCAGGGCCCGCAGACTTGCCGACCGGCAGGGGGCCTGGGGTGGAGGAAGGCCAGGCAGTCGCAGTTCTGTCAGAGACACCAGACCTGTGGCTCTGGGAGGCCCTGGGGTCCAGGCTGGGAGTCCTCAGAGGCCTACAGCAGGTCTGGGTGGGGTGAGAGTCCTGACAGAATCCCGGGCTGTGCCCCTTCCTTCAGAGATCTGACCACCACCCCCATCCTTGGGTACCGAGCCACTTACATCTGTCCAGCCAACAGTATTCAGAAACCATCTCCTTGTAGGCAGGGTATCGGCCAGTCTCCTGGAAAGGACACAGGGGAGCAGGCAGGAGGGTAGGAATGGGGGCAGGACAAGACAAGAGTCAACTTTTCAACTCCATCCCTCTCCTGAGTCCATTGTGCTCTGACCACATGGGCCACTTTGTTTCAGAACCTGACAAATTCCTTTGCACCACAGGGCCTTTGAACTTGCCCTTCCTGCCACCTGTCCTCTCCTCCCTCAGCTTCTGATGTGGCTAGCTCATGCTTGTGGTTCAGGTGTCCCTCCTTCAGATGAGATGCCCTGGTGCCCCTTGACACGGGGGCCTGCCTAAATGACTCCATAGTGTCTCTGTAGCTATGTGGGAGCCTGATGCAAGAGCCTGGCTTATCTGTCCTTCCCCTCCCTCATCCCAGGAGGAGATCTCATCTACTCTACCCGCTGCTGCAGATGGCACAGTGGCTTACACAGTAGATGCTTACAGAGCTTGTCAGATAGTAAATCAGGGCAGGCAAGAGTGAGAAGGGATGTCTGGGGCGACATGAAGGAAGGGAGAGTTGGGGGAACAGAGGCAGGGGATGGCAGAGGTGAGACAGTGCAGGCTTGGGGAAGAGATGGGCAGAGTGGGGTGCGGGCACTCAGGGAGGGTGGCATCAGGCCCTGCCGGCACCGAGGGAGACACTGACCCTCAGGTACTCCTCAGAGCAGAGCAATGGACCCAGCCTCCTACCCCTGAAATCCCAGGTGTGCTACAACCCAGCCCTCCCTGTCTTGGTCCTGCCCCAAACTGCAGCGCCCATGACCCTGACGGGCCGGCCGAGGACCCCTCTGGCCCAGGTCCCCATTCAGAGGTGGCACTGGGAAGTTTGGGGCAGGGACAGCTGAAGAACTCACTGGTTCAGTTACTGAACCTCTCCAAGCCTGCGTCTTGCTTGGACTCCCTTCCCTGGGGCACAGCAAGGAGCAGAGCCCAGCTGCCCGGGAAGCCGCACCCCCAGCCTCGCACCTTGACAGTCAGCATGATGTGAGTGTGGCCCTTCAGCACCTCCACAGCCTGGCTGTGGCTGATGTCGTCGAATCTGACCCCGTTGGCCGCCAGGACTTGGTCCCCCACTCTGATGCCACTCTCCTCGGCCAGCCCGCCGTGGTCCACTCTGGGTCAGGCAGGGATGGGTGGTGGCAGCCTGGCCCTCCCAGCGCACCCCATCCCGCGCTCCCGGCCCCCCGCCAGGCCGCACGCTGCCTAGCCCTCACTTAGACACGTAGATGCCCAGGCCGAACTCCTTGCCCCCACGGATGTTGAAGCCCAGGCAGAAGTCGTCGGAGGTGGTGTACAGGTGCACTATGCGCCACGCGCCGTCCTGTGAGCCGCTGCTGGAGGCGCCGAGCCGCTCCTCTCCACCACCAGCCGCCGGTTCACCACGTCCACCCTGGGCATCAGTGAGGGTCTGGGCTGGGCTCCTGCCCCCGCTGCCTCCACACAGAGGGTTCAGCGGGCGAGCAAGCGCCCTAAGCCCCCTTGCGTGGAGCAGCTTCCCCCTTCCCTCTCCTCGCTCAGTGTGCAGTGGACCCAGGCCCGGAGCATGCTGCCCACTTGCTCTCCGTCAAGCTAGGCCACAGCAGGCTGTTTCCACTCTGGGGCCCTGCGCAGCTGCTGTGCTGTGCTGGATCACAGCAGCAGCGAGGAGGGCGCAGGGCTGAGCTGGGGGAGACTCGTCCTCCCCTAATTTCTAGGGGGCCTTGGGAGCCAGATTCCGGCCTCCTGCCCGTGAGGTGAGGTGAGGTGAGGTGTGGCTGGGTGGGGCAGGGGGTCGGCGCTGCTCACCAGGTGGTCTTCTCCCTGGAGAACTTGATGCTGGGCACTCGGCCCATGCGCCGCACAGTCAGCTGCAGGCGGCTGCTGCCGGTCAGCACCTTCACAGCGCTGCCCATGGTGGTGCTCTCCAGGCTCAGCCCGTTCACCTCCGTGATCTTGTCCCCCACACACAGGCCGGCCCGCTCTGTGGGGCAAGGTGGCGCTGACTGTCCTGCCTCCTGCCCCACAGTGCCCAGGGCAGCCCTCAGCGATGGAGCCGCCCCTGCCGAGGTGGCACAGGACCCAGCCACTCACCAGCGCTGCTCCCCTCCTCCACCTTGCTGACAAAGATCCCCAGACCATGCTCGGAGCCGCCCCGCACGCTGAACCCCAGCCTCCCGGCTGGACTCTTCTCCACGTGGACTGCATGGATGACGTCACTTTCGTCGCTGTTGGCTGTGAGGAAGGGGACACAGGTGTGAGCCTGCGTTCAGTCTGGGCACAGAGGGCCCCTGGCTTCCCCAATGTGGGGCCTGTAAAGGATGGGCTGCTGGGCACAGCCACATGAGCACTGAGGGTCCTAACGGGTGTGCACGTCAATTCCCAGGTGCCCCGTTTTGAGACCATGGGCCGCAGAGGGTGTGGGAGCGGGTGAGAGCAGCTAGACAGTATGTGTGTGTCTGTGTCCAATGTTTACAGTTTCCCATGCCCACATTCCTAAAAGCCCCCACCACTTAGACCGTCAGACCAGATGGACAGAAAGGAAGGCTCAAGATTCCACCCTGGATCACAGCTGAGGGGAGCCCGGCCCTTCGAGCACACTGACACCAACTTCAATAACTGTGGCACCGTCCTGTAGGAAGCATGAAATGTTCTTGCCTGAGGAACCCAGAGGGCAGAACCAAGCCCACATTGCAGAATTAGGTAACCACAGGTTTTGTAAGAAAAAGCTTTCTAAGACACTCGAGGTCACACAGACAATGAACTTCCTGTCTCTGGAGGTGTGCAAGCTGAGATCTGGGAAATCCCAATGTCATGTCCAGCAGGGCCGTGAGGCCTCACACTGTCCCACTAGGGGCTGCCTGGCTACCCTCACAGTGCACAGCACCTGCCCCACAGTGCCTGGTCAGGCCAGCTGGGAAGGCTGCTTAGGGGCTGAGCTGGGTGCAATCAGATCGGATGGGCAGAGGGAAGGCCAGCCCTGAGGGAGGCTCAGAGCCCAGCCTCGGGAGGGGAGGCCTCGGTAGAGAAGCTGAAGGAGCCCAGGTGAGAAGGTGAGATTTCTCAACAGGCAAGGCTTACTGTAGAGGTTTGAGGAGAAATCTCCCCCACGCGAACACACACACACACACACACACACACACACACACACACACACCCACTTCAATTTGATCCTGCAGAAATCAGGTTACAGTGCACCGCCCAGGCAGTGCAGACAGAAATCCCCAAGGTGGCCGGGCAGCACTGGTTCAGGGCAGGGCACCCTGGTCATTCACACAGATTGTGCGGCCGCCCTGCCTCAGCGAGGGGCATCTGCTGCCCACCCGGCACTTTGCCTCCAGTCCTTTCTAGGGCTCTGGCCAGGCTTCGGGCTGGAGCCTTCCCTCCCTGTCCACCCTGGACCGTGCCACGGGAGAGTGCTCCCTCCAGGTGCTCCGCAGCCTCTTCCTGAGCAGCTGATCCTCAAAGCCAGCCGCCAGAGTCTGGCCCGGCCCCTCGCAGTGCCCTGACCCTGCCTGTCCTCCTGCAGGGCTTCCTCTGCTCACCTCTGCCCGCTCCCCTCCCTCACTGGGCTTTGGCTACCCTGACGTCCTTTCTCGTCCTCACACAAGCCAACACTCTTTGCTGGCATTTATAAGGCCACCCCTGTCCTCACTGCCCTCTGTATCTCAGGGAAGCCAGTGGCTCCCAGGGCAGAGGACTCGACCAGCAGCAGCAGGACTTCTTACAAAGTTGAATTTCAGGGCTGCCGCCCACAGAACAGGAAGCTCTGCAGGCAGGCTTAGGGAGACCCCTGGGTAAGGCCTCCAGCCAGTCTGGCCCACCCCAGGGGAGAACCAGGCTTGCGTTTATCAGCCGCAGCCTCACAGTTTCCTTCAGGGTTCTCCCACCCTTCGCTATCATCCACTGCTCCTGACTGTTCATTGTCTGTCTCCTTTCGCTGAATTGTAAGCTCAATCACAGAAACGAATTCTTTTCCACTAGCACAGCTCCAGTATTTCACATAGAGCTTGGTATCTGAGTATTTTTTGAATAAAAGAACAAACAGATGAATGAATGAATGAACTAGGAGAGGAAAAAGGGCTGGTTTAGCTGAAGGATCGTGCATTTTCTTCTCTGTTTCTTTCTTTTGAGATGTAGTCACGCTAAATTGCCTAGTACGCTGGTCTCAAACTGGTGATCCTCCCACTTGCCTCTAAAGCAGCTGAGGTTACCAGCGAGCGCCACACTGCCAGGTTAGAGTACACATTTCTCTGGGACCAACTGAGTTTTGGAGCTATCGGCGCTCCTGGGTTCCCCCATCACAAGATAAGCCCCTGAGGCCCCCAGCGTCTCCTTGGGCAGCTACTTTATTTTCCTGGAAGTATCTAGATGAGAATTCGGGGCAGGAGTCCCCAGCTCTGTGAGTGGGAGAGGTCTGTGCCCAAGAAGAGGGGAGGATCCTGGACTCAGGGCTGCCCGGTGGGCAGAGCAGCCCCCTGCTGTTAGCTGCTGCAGGCTGCTCCCTGGTAGCCCATGGCCGGGTGAGGCAGGGAGAAAGCAGTCACGGCACTTTGGGCAGAGACTGCAGGATCCTGGAAGATGACTATGGGGTCTGTGAGGGGCAGCACAGCAGAGCTCTGCTAACAGCAGGAGCCCCACTACCCCCATGCCTCCCAGCTCCTCTGGGACTTCCGCTCCCTGACCGAATGATAGTGGATGACCAGGTGTGTGCCTGGCTGCAGATGGAAGAAAGTTTGCTCTCAAGTAACACCCTGGACCCCCGCCCCTGGGTGGGCCAGAGGGGCCTACTGGAGAGGCAGCCAGGAGCTCCACTGGAGAAGAAAGAGGAGAGGAGCTGGAGATACCTATCTGGTCCTGCCCACAGAAAGCCAGGCAGGCGCAGGGCCCCTCCCTGCCCGCCACATGGCATCCAAGGTCCTGTCCAGCCCCCAACTCTTTGCGCCTCACATCTGTCATGGCACCAGGCCATCTCCCAGGTGCCTTCCCTCCATGCTTTTCTGCTTCCAGGGTTTATGGGCTTATGAGCGGTAGCTGCATGCCACCACCAGCTGCTCCTCTCCCATCTCTGAGTCCTGCCACACTGTACATTTCTAGAGGGTGGGGACTAGGCTTCACCATGCAGGTCCCCTGTAGGAGCTAACAGGACTGCACAGATTGGGGGTGCAACAAGGCAGTGCCAGCAACCACACACACTGAGGTTGTCCCTGCTTCAGGGTCCAGCCCTGGGATCCCTCCCTGGCTCTCCAACCTCCAGTTCTCCCCTCTGCCTGCAGGCCCCTCCTTCTGCTCCTGAAGCCTAGGGACAGAGCCGGTCGCACTGCCTTCCTTGAGCCTCACCTGCAAAGGCGCACACACATGGATTTTGAGAAGGGGCATCCTTACCAGGCCAGCGCAGGGCCCGACCCACCTTCGATGGGGGAGTTGATGAGGATCACTCGGCCCATGGGCGAGGAGGCTCGGATTCCGCGGGAGGGCCCACTCAGCAGCCGCTGTTGCCTTCTCAACAGGTATCGCGTTGCGGTGGAGCCCGAGTCGCTGCCCAGGTGGCCCCGGGAGGACAGGGAGCTCAGAGAGCTGGAGCTGAGTTCTCCTAGGCCTAAGGACTCGAAGCCCGGTGCGAATCCGCGCGCCATGGTGCCTGGGCGAGCAGCACCCTGCCCGCTCAAAAGGGAGGCGCTAGCCCTCTGGGGGCAGCTCCTGCGCCCTGTGTCCCATGGGCCTTCTTTGTCGCCTGGGCCCTCAGTGTGCGCTCCAGACCTAGGCGGGGAGCACAAGGATGGGGGGCGGGTGTGAATGCTTCGCCAGCTGCCCCCAAAACTCCCCCCCACCCCTGATTTGAGCCTCCTGCCTTCCCAGGTCTCAAGCCCCGCCTCTCCCACCCGGGATAGAGGTCTGTGGGTCCAGCTCGCTGGCTCGGACCTGTGGCGCCATTCCACCACAGAATGGACGCGGAACTCTCTGCACCCCTCATTTCCACTCTCCCTGATCCCCAGTCCTCCGCAGAGGTAAAGCTGAACATGGAGAAGGGTTGCAAGGAGACGCCGGGCCCTGGGCCTTCAAGAGGAGTGAGAAAATGCAGGATCATCCCCAGGGTCTTCTCTCGCGTGTGCGGGGAGGGTTCGGCCTGGGGATGGAGCTCAGGACCCCAGATCCCCGGGCCCAGGCTGCGGCTCGGTGTGCAGCGGCTGCATGGCTTCTCCGCACGCATGGGCGAAGGATCTGCTGGCAAGGACC